TTTACAGGCTACTCAAAAGCTGGCGGCTGTCTAAAACACTCAGCACACACGTTCCAGAGTGATATACTGGAAGGAGCACAAGTGAATTTTGCGGTTCACCCCTTCCTTATCTTTCTACAGGTAACAATCTCGCTGGGGAGATGGATCCCATGCCCGCTGGACAACAGGTGGCATGCCAGTAACTGGGCGAGGCTGGCACGCTGGCCTGTGATCTGTCACTTGGAGCAGGGGCAGGGCAGGGTGGCCCCTTTCGGGGTCTTGAGTAAGGGCCAGCTAAGGGATTTACGCCTTTATTTAAAAGCAAAAGTTTTATGCAAAGGAAGAACATTCACAAAACGTGATTTTGGGCAGACTAATCTGGTCTGTGTAAGAAACGCTGGAAGGAAAAACTGAGGACGAGGACTTCCAAGTCCTTGACGTCCAGCATTCTCTTGCTTTTTGGTGGCAAATGAATATGCTCGCCTTACAGCATAATATTTTAATCCAACTCATACACACCTTTGCGTAAGCGAATGCTGTGACCTTTCATATTTATCTGCTATTTGTTCCCCGGTCCCTGTTTTATTTTCAAAGAGCCCTGACACACACATAAAACACACACCCGTAGTTACCATGGGGATTATCTATGCAGCACATGTCATACACAAGTAATTCCCACCAGGAAATGCCACATTTTATGGTAGGTCTTCCTGCCCTACTCGCAATCACACTTTTTCACTGGTGACCAGAATTTCAGACACTCACTCCAGAAGGAACACACTTCTAATCTGAAAAGAACGTCACAGTCTCTTGGCCTGGCTGACCACCTTGACTGTCTTCAGTCTTCAACAAATACTGGTTGTACTTTTCTGATGAGGAGGACTTATCATTATGTGGAGCAGATATGCTAGCGGGCATGAAGAGAAGAGCCTCTACCAGAGAAAAGAATGCAATTCAATTTGCCTGAAATTCCTTTCAGGCATCCGGAAAGAAATAGCCAATTGCCCACATTGCTCATCTGAACGATCAAAGGCAGGGAGAAAACAGCACCCACGGACCAGAAGGAAGCCTGCGAAGGACAAGGCAGCTTGAAATAGGGGACCAGTGCCATTCTTTCCCACCATATGAGAGTGCCAGAGGGGTGAAGGGTGGAGTGGCCCTTTTAGCACACCACGTGGTCTATATTTTATCATCCGCCACAGGCAGTGCCACCTGCATTGCTTTCATGGAAGGCACCAGAGCAATACCATGACCACAGATTGTCACTCTGGAGTGCCACACGAACTTGACCCCAGAGCCAGCCCCTCAATATGACAACATTCGACTCGATGTTCCAGACCGTGCACGATCGAAATTCTTCATTTTTTGGTTACAGCTTTTTGACAGTCAGACTCCACGTATTTACAGAGAATCAGGAGAAAGAGAGAGCACAGATCACATCTATTGTTTGTTTGTTTGTTTTCTGAGATAGAGTCTTGCTCTGCTGCCATGCTGGAGTGCAGGGGCACCATCTCAGCTCACTGCAGCCTCCACCTCCTGGGTTCAAGCAGTCCTTCCACCTCAGCCACCCGAGCAGCTGGGACTATAGGTGTGCATCACCACACCTGGCTAATTTTTGTATTTTTAGTAGAGACAGGGTTTCACCATGTTCGCCAGGCTAGTCTTGAACTCCTGACCTCAAGGGATCCACCCGCCTCGGCCTTGCAAAGCCCTGGGACTCCAGGCGTGAGCCACTGTGCCCAGCCACCTCGATTGTTTTTTAAGAAATTCTTAAAGTCTGAAAAGAGACACTTCAACATATGCCCCAAATAATATTTTCTACAGTCCCCAATGCCTACAGGAAAACACACACACACACACACAGAAAAAGAGGTAAGGACCTCTTGCCAGCTGGAAGTTCACTGACATACCAGTCATCTGAGAGCCAGGACCACATTTTCCTATACAAATAACATGACAAAACTGCAGTTAAGTTCCAAGGCAGCTCACAAAAAGCAATTTAGCCCACCTCACTCCTAAAGTAGGACCGGGCACTCCGGAGCCACCCACCAGCCAGCAGGGCCAGTGATGACTCAGGGCGAACATGTTGGCTTCAAGGGAAAATGGGTCCTGTGGGGCCGTGATCCTGTAGAAGGTTTAAAATCAGGGACAAATGCAGGAAAAAAGCAAGGAGTGAAATAATTCCTTATAACAATAGCAGATGGAAAACACTTCCCTACTCCCCCTTTCAAGGAGTAAAGGTGACCTGTACTGGGCTGGCTGGACGAAGCAAGCAGCCCTGCTGGGAAAGCCCCGTGACCACCAACTGCAGGTGGCTTCTGGGAGATGCAGGCAGCCGCTAGGAACTGTGAGTAGCCTCTGCGAGCTGAGAGCAGCCTCTGTGTCAGCCAAAAAGAGGCCAGGACTCAGTCCTACAACTAGAGAACATGAATCCAGCCAACAACCTAAGGGAACGTGGAGGATGACATTTCTCCAGTCAAGCCTCCAGATGAAAACCAAGCCCAGGCCAACATCCAGACAGCAGCCCTGTGAGACCCCAAGCACAGGCCCCAGCGAGGCCCCGACTCCTGCTGATTCCTAGCCCACAGAAACGTTGAGAAAATGAGTTGTGTGTTATTTTAAGCTGGAGAAAGAGATGACTAATCCATGGTGCAAACACTCTTGCGTGATGATGGGTGCACTGGTGTTCACTGGCTCACGGAATCCTTGGGGAGCTAAGACCAGAGCAGCAACCTTTCTTTAATGCATTGCTGCAATGGTGGGGATAACCATGACTTTGCCTGAGGCTATTTTGGAAGGCTGAATGATTCGAAAGTAATTTTCTCCTCCTGGAAAATGGCATACATTAAATAGCTGCTATTTCCTTTTTTAAAAATGAAGTGATCTGCCTTGGGCCATGGTTATAGGGAGTAATGGGAGCTCTAACGATGAGACCATACATTGTCCCTGCCCTCAGAGTGCAGAGCCTGGAAAGAAGCAAGTAAGTAACAGTTCCCAATGATCCATCCATGCAACAGCTACCTACGACACACCTATTATGTGTCCTCCCTCCTTGCGGAGACGGAGGCAGCAGCAGGGAACAGAACAGAAGGGAGAAGACAGAATGTGATAAACAACAAGCGTGGCCAAGACGGAACGGCCTCCAGGAGACGTGCCACCTACGTTGCCATGTGGCACCTGGCCTGATTCTCTTCAACAGGAAAAGGTGACACCATGGCGGTGCCCAGTAAGCCATAAACTCTCCTGATTCAGACAGGGTTTGGGACTTGTGCCCCAAGACCACCCAAGGGCTTCCCCTCACACCTCGATACTGCACTGCGTAGCCCAAGAAGTGAAGAGTCTGACTTAGGCTATTCACTCAGATGTCTACGCCCAGCCCCAGGGTTAGGTAACACTGGAAGATGTTCTAAAATAGTCCGTGAAGGCAGCAGAAACACATCTGACTGGGGCCATGGAAGGAAGAATGCAGAATGAACTCGCTCTAATTTCAGTTATTTTACTGATTAAGTACCTAAACTGAGCAGGAAAGAAAAGGGTGCTCAAGACTCACACACCCCAGCAAACAGCGGCTTCTGGCCTGTGCAGATTGTCCTCCCACTTCCCTGCTGGCCAGCAGCTAATTTTACCTACTGCCTTTGGGAAGGTGCACTTGGTAATCCTGCACCTTTGTTTCTGACATTTACAAGGCTGTAGCAGCCTCACAAACAAGGTGCTTACTTATAGCCTAATCCTCCCCAGGAACTTGAGGCTTATGGGCAGCCCCTCCTTCCTCCTTAATTCTCATTTCAAGGCAGTCTGCTCAAAGTTGCTTACATGTGGCAAAGGTCACTGGCTATATTCCCCGGAAGTCCTTCTGATTAAGAACTCAGTGTGGCCTGCTGAGTCTGAGTATGTGTGCATTCCTAACATAGCCAAAGTCTTGGAATTAACTCTATGAATGGCCTCAAATGACTAAGAATGTGAGAGAGTGGGAGAGAAGTCAGGTGAGGTTCATTACATACACACACACATGCACACACGCACACACACATGCCCTCAACTGAAAAGCTTTACCTCTATTTTTTTGTGATAAAATAGCAACAATAATGATGAAGCTTCCATTCTCAGTAAACATTTTTATTTTAATAAAAAAATAACCAAGCAGTTAGCTTGAAGTATTTTATAGTGGACCTCTTTTCCCCAAACTACATCCTACGCCAAACCCGAATAGAAGAATCAGATAAAAATGAAGCTACTCGTAGTTAAAGAGAGATAGGGGACAGAGGGCCTCACCGGCCAGCATTTACCGACCCCCTGACCCACCTGGCTCTTATGCCCACTTGGAATTAACTCTCAAGCTGCAAGGAACACCCTGAAATGCCACTGCCCTACAGCAGATGGTTACAGCACCTAAACCAAGAACAAGTCACAGTAGAATTCCTAAGTAAAAGGGAGAGAAGTTAAAGAAAGGAGAAGAGTGAGAAGAATGGGGTCAAGATGAAAAGTTCTGGGGCAGGAAGAAAACTGGAAGCTGCCCTTGCCCTTGAGAAGTGCAAAGGCTCCAGAAGTCATAGACAGAAGCATGGCAGGATGGATCACAGCCGCTGTGCTGCACGCCAGTGTCCAGGAGCCGGGTGGCACAGAGCACGAGACAAAGCACCCAAGGTCCGCGCCAGGGATGACGTGGGACAGCTCCAGGATGATCCTTCCCCAGAGCCTGCCCTGGTGACCAGGCCTCAGGGACGGAAGGCCTGGCCAGCCATGGGATAAGAAGCCGTAGGATAGGACTGAAGGAAATGCAGGAATTTAAGGAACATACTAAAGTGAAAAAATGGGCTTGTTTTCTGCTGAGTCAGTGGGTAGCCACATGAGTCTGAAAAGTACAGCAGTTGGGAATCTAAAACAGAAGACAACTGGGGGTTTTAGTTGTCAGTTAACTTAAAAAGTCAACAGACAACCAGGAGTCTAAATGAATAACAGTCTAGCACAAAACAGAATAGCATATTCTAGCATGCTGGGTCATGCTGACAGGCAGACTATACCTGGAATGTGATGCGAGGCCTCAACACCTTCTCACCAGAGAACAGCCTCGATCTTGAAGCAAAGATGTCTCAAGAGAGGTACAAAGAAGGTTCTGGGACCCTGAAAGGCAAGGAGGAATCATCAGATATGTTCAGATTCGACCCCAGAATGTCCAAGTCTGTGGCTGGTACAGGGAAAACAGATTCAGCTCAGCCCTGGGGCAGGGAGCACATGTCACCTTAACAGCAACTGAAGACAGGGTGGATGGCAAAGGGGCCCACCACAGGACGTCATCGGGGGTGAGGGAATCTGTGGGGATCGCTCCCGTGTGAGGCCCCTAGGAAATGGACCTCGCCATACGGTGATCTTGAGCCCGGACACAGATCCCTGGTTGGGGGAGTCGAGCTGAGGGAAAGCAGGAACCGAAAGAGGGACTATGTTATTCAAAATAATTAACAGACATTACTTTATGGATATTAGGACATGAAAAGCGTTGTGTACACTTTCGGCTTCTTATGGTTTATTGTTTGATTGTGTTCATTTTGGACCCTTGTGACCTTCATTGTAAAATATTAACTTAAGTATCTACACTTGGTAACTTACTTACCGTAGCTTACAGGGCGTAACCATAACTTACTTACCATAGCTTATAGGGCGTAACTGTAACTTACTTACCATAGCTTACAGGGCGTAACTGTAACTTGCTCACAATTGTTAAGCACTTACTGGGCGTTACTTACTTGCTGGGTGTAACCTATTTACTGGGCTTAACTTACTTACTGGGCGTAACTTGCTTACTGCAACTAAGTACGTTGATCTGGAGTAAACAACTTTAACTTCAGAAAAGTATATAATGAGACATATTGCAAAAATAAAATTGCTGCATGGGCATAGCGCATGTAGCCCTCCAGACCTCGCTCTTTTCTATCTCCTTTTTTTCTGGTGCACGCTCTCTTCTAGGTTTGGGACCCTCTCGCTGGACGAGATTCCCGGGCTCGCGTTCAGTTCACAACAAGGGGAATTCTGGGAGAAGATGAGGAGCCAGGCTAGATGCCCTCCACACCAGAGATTCCACCACTTTATCTCTGAAATTAACTCTAACATTTCAAAGAGGAAGATATAAAAGCATCACACGAGTAATCTCCTTTCACAAATCTAGGGCACGGCTGTAGACATGCAAAAGCTCTGAGGCCCTGGTTAGGGGCCACAAAGGCGAGTGAGTCTGCTCCTGATACCGGTAGTGACCAAGAAGGTTATCCTAAATCTGGGATGCAGGACTTTTGTTACCTTAGAGTGGAATCGTGCTGGCCAGTGACTGGGAGTGCCTGGTGTGAATACAGCTTGAGGACACGCTAGGAAGAACCTAGCAGATGCACGGTATATAAAGTCCTTCGTTTTCTAAATCTTACCATTTACACTCTGCACAGATTCTTGCACTCACCCAGGAGCTGAAGAGGTTTAATTAAGCTGTCTGAAATATGATTTGCACCTAATATGAACCCAGTCAAGATTATCATTATACCAAAAATGCACATAAAGATGCTAATCAACAGCTAGAGTTTTATAACTTAGACAGCAGCAAACCAGATTTCCCACAATTGAAATCTTATTCTATTCCACCTACATCATCTTTCATACTTTGATATTTCATCCTACATTGATATTTAATTCCTTTTCACTTTCTATGTTGAAAATGTCAAACCTACAGAAGTTGAATGAATAGTTACTCTTTATCTACACCTCCCAATATTTAACATTTCGCCGTATTTGCTTTATCCCCCTTTAGCCCAATACATGCTTTCCTCATGACCACTGTGATAAGATAGAGCCATCTTGACAACTGATTTCTAAATATGTTGGTAAGTAACTGCTAAGAATGACATTGTCTTATCAAACTAATGCCATGATCACACCAAAGGAACTGAACATTAATTCAATAGTATTTAAAACACAGGCCGCAATCAAATGTCCCTAATTGTCAATTGTTGCTATTTTTTGATGCTCTATCACATACCATGAGAGCACTGAGAACAATGAAGGTTGATAAAGTCAGGTTCATAGCCCAGCAGGGACACAGTATCCTGGTGCCCCACTGCAGGATGGGTGCACCCTACCCTCTGTCCCGGCAGGAAAGAAAGTAGTTGGACACCAGGAAAAGCTTTGGCAATGAAGTGATGTTTGGATGATGAGCTTACCACCCAGAGAAGTGGGGAAGAAAGGAAGCATTCCAGAAAGTGGGCATTGACTGCAAAAATGCAGATTTGACAATGGCCCCCAAAGATGTCCACATCCTAATCCCAGGGAACTGTAACGTCAAGTTACAAGGCCAGCAGAATTCAGATACAGAGGAATGAAGGGTGGGCCCGGAGTGATCATAAGAGTCCTTACCGGATGGAAGAGAGTACAGCAGAGTCAGTGATGGGGGGACACCATGTGAGGTGGCAGCCCTGCTGGCTTTGAATACAAGGGACCACCAGCCAGGAAACGTGGGCAGCCTCAAGGAGCAGGGAGAGGCAAGAAACGGTCCTCCCCTCCCCTTGTCTTCCCTGCAGCCCCCAGATGGGAGTGCCTCCCTGCAGCCCATACCTTGATTTGAGCCCACTCTGGACTTCCCAACCTGTAGCACTGTAAGATAATACATTTATGTTGTTTTAACCCACTAAAAAAATAATGTAGAGGTTTGAGAAAAAAATGGAAATGGCAAGTGTTGCGGGCTGGGGTCAAAGTCACCTGAGTCCTTGTGGCTAAAACAAGGAAACCACACTTTATTTTTGAGGGGAGGGAGGGCAACCATGATTGGGATTCGAAGTTTAGAAAGTTAACTCCTGGAAACCATCGTTCTCAGCAAACTGACACAGGAACAGAAAACCAAACACCGCGTGTTCTCACTCATAGGCAGGTGTTGAACAATGAGAACACATGGACACAGGGAGGGGAGCATCACAACACTGGGGTCTGTGGGGGTGGGTAACTAGGGGAGGGACAGCAGGGGGTGGGGAGTTGGGGAGAGACAACATGGGGAGAAATGCCAGATATAGGTGATGGGGAGGAAGGCAGCAAACCACATTGCCATGTATGTACCTAGGCAACAATCTTGCATGTTCTTCATATGTACCCCAAAACCTAAAACACAATAAAATGTATATATTAAAAAAAAAAAAAAAAAGAAAGTTAACTCTAGGAAAAAAAGAGGCAGAATCTAGAAGGGAAACAACTGACGACATTTGCTGCAAGCAATAATAACATTTGAGCTTTCAAGAAAAATGGGAATTCCAGAAAACTTTTATTCGTTAACAAGATGTGGACAGCTCCCTAAAATCTGAATTTTCTGATGACACTGGGGATGACGTTAACAAATGTGCTGTTTTAAAAATATATGATGAAATGTGCCAGCATTTGGAAGATCTATATAACTCAGTAAAACGGTAATTCAGTAAAACAGAATCATAAATGCATAAAAGACTGATCTGAAGTGTAAGACAGACCTGTATATTTTAGAGTATAAACAGCTTACTAAAATGGCTTCAGATTCCACAGTGGAACCCACTATTGCCCGTGGAGTTTTAATGTAATATCAAGAAGGTATAACCACAATTACCTGAAAAGGCCATTAAAGTGTTCTTCCTTTTCTAGGTACATTCCTGAGAAGCCGTATTTTCTTTGTATACTTCCACTAAAACAGAACGTCCAAACTGACTGAATGCACATATATGCATCCAGCTGCCTTAAATTAAGCTAAACAGAGAGGTTTGTAAATATGTAAAACAACTCTTCTCACCTAATTCATTCTGGAAAACTTATTTTTCATAAAAAAATGTTACTTAACACAAAATGGGTTCATCATTGCTATTTTAGGTAGATGAAGACATTTATTTCAAGTTGTTCTAAATTTTAATATCTTTCTTTCTTTTTCTTCTTTCGAGACAGGGTCTCACTCTGTCACTCAGGTAACAGAATGCAGTGGCATGATCTCAGCTCACTGCTGCCTCAACCTCCCTGGACTCGAGTGATCCTCCCACATCAGCCTCTCAGATAGCTAGGACTACAGGCATGCACCACCAAGCCTGGCTATTTTTTGTATTTTTCGTAGAAATGGTTTTGCCACATTGCCCAGGTTGGTCTCAAATTCCTAAGCTCAAGCAATCCACCTGCCTCAGCCTCCCAAAGTGCTGGGATTATGTGTGCCACTGCACCCAGCCTAAATTTCAATTTCCAATTCATAAATATTGATAGACACAACCCACATAAGCAAAGCTCGTTGGAGTCCTCAATATTCTTTAAGGGTGTCAGAGGGGTTCGAGATCAAACAGTTTGAGAACCACCGCTTGAAAGTTTGCCCAGGGAAATGAACACAGCCAAGCTTAATATATGCTCGACAGGAAGAATGCTGCTCTCCGCTTTTTAGGCATGAATTCAGCAGCCTGCTGCAGTGACACTTGCTCCTATCATGGTAAAAAAGCAGTTAACACTAAATTTGAAAGTCTAAAGGAAGGCATGCCATATGTTAAGCCAGGATGAATTCATCAGGATTAATGGGGCTGGAATGCACAGCAAATAAATGCATTAGTAATGCTTTTCTTTAATCCAAGCATGTTCCAATCAATTTACCGTAATTTCGAGATTTGAAAATTCCTTTGTTAAAAGCAGAGTAATACAGTGCTACACCTCAGATGGAAAGAGACCATTTGCTTCATAAATATAGCAAACAGCATTCCAACCCTACCCTTGATGGGCTTCCAGGAGTACATGGAGACTGTAAAAGTGTGATTGTGACACCATGTGGCTATATTACAGTCATGTGTCACTTACCTACAGGGATATGTTCTGAGAAATGTGTCTTCAGGCGATTTCATCCTTGTGTGAACATCCTGGAGTGTACTTAGAGTGTACCGCCAGGAATCTAGGTGGGACAGCCTACTGCACACCTAGGCTGCACGGTATAGCCTTGGCTTCTAGGCTACAAACCTGTACAGCATGTTACTGTACTCAATACTGCAGGCAACAGTAACACAGTGGTAAGTATCTGTGAATTGAAACATAGAAAAGGGACAGCAAGCATAAGACATAAAAGATAAAAACTGGTACAACCTTATAGGGAGGGCACTTCCCATGAATGAAGC